TTGCTGTTCTTTTTCTAATTGTTGGAGATGTTGGTTTAAAGTGTTGATTTTGGCTCTTTCTTCTTTTTTGATGTGTGCAGTTATTACTATAAATTGGCCTCTGATCACTGTTTTTGCTGTGTCTCAAAGATTTTGGTATGTTGTGTTTTCATTCTTGTTTGATTCAAGGAATTTTTTAATTTCATTTTTTTCTTACGGGTGAGAAGTGGTATCTCAAGGTAGTTTAATTTGCTTCTCTCTTAATATGGACAGGTTTGAGCATTACTTATCATGATGATTTTGTGTGTCATCTTGGCTGGGCTATGGTGCCCAGTGGTTTTCCCAAAGACTAGACTGGTTGCTGTTTCATCATGTAATGTAGTGTAGCACAGTGTGATGTGATGTAATGTGATGTGAACTAATGGCCTTCCATAATATAATGCAATCAGTCAGTTGAGAGGGGACTTCCTTAGGGTGTGGTCTGCCTGCAGACTATAAAATAGGTATTTGATGCCTCTCTCTCCCTCTTTCTCTCAACTGCTCACTCTTCCCTTCACCTCATCTATGGATCTTGGAACACAAGCCTGCAGGAGTCTCCAGCCTGCTACCTGCCTTACAGATTTTGGACTTGCAAGCCTCCAGCAATGCCAGAACCCACCAGGAGTCTCCAGCCTGACACCCTGATTTTGGACTTTCTAGCTCCCACAATTGCATGAGCTCATCTCTTGAAGTAAATCAATTAATCTCTCTCTCTCCATATATATGGTTTTATATATATATATATATATATATATATATATATATATACACACACACACACACACACACACACACACACACATATATATGCACATGTATATACATATATGTACATAACATCACTGGTTCTGTCTCTCCAGAGAACCCTGGCATTTATGTATGTTTAAGGGCCATTCCATTTTATTTTTCTGTGAACCATTCAGATCTTTTGCCTATTTTTCTATTCGATTGTTGCTGTTTCTTCTTTATTTTTAGGACCTTCTTATCCTTGGAAATTGAGCCTGAGTGAGATGCAACAGCAAAACTCAGTGAGAACACAGGCTTTGGTGCCCGACGTAATTAGATTCAGATCTTGGCTCCATCACTTACAGTTAGTCCTTGGGCAGGTTATTTGCCTCACTGAGCCTATTTCTCTCTGTCCCCAGGTGGTGCAAACAGTTAACACACTTGGCTGCCGACGGAAAAGCTGGGGGTTCAAGTTCACTCAGAGGTGCTTGGGAAGAAAGACCTGGCACTAACACTTTAAATGATTGACACGTTAAATCCTCACTCCAACTCTATGAGGAAGGTATAGTCGTAACTTCACTTTAAAGAAACTGAGCCATACAAAAATTAAGTAAGCCGCTAGGGTTATAAATGATAAAGCTAGAATCTATTGATCTGTCTTTCCATCTTTCTCTCTCCAGTCATTCATCTTCCCACTCATCCATCTATCTGTCCATCCACCCATGCACTCATCCACCCATCCATGCATTCAGTCCACCCATCCATCTACCCACCCACTCATCCATCCATCTGTCCACCCACACACTCAATCACCCATCCATCCATCTACCCGCTCATCCATCCATCCACCCACTTATCCATCCATCCACTCACACACTTAAATCACCCATCCAATCATCCACTCATCCATCTATCTACCCACCCACTCATCCATCTATCTACCCATCCATCCATCCATCCACCCACCCACTCATCCATCTATCTACCCACCCATCCATCCATCCATCCACCCACCCAATCACCCATCCATCCATCTACCCACTCATCCATCTATCCACCTACCCATCCATCCACCCACTTACCATCCATCCACCCACACACTCAAATCACCCATCCAATCATCCACTTACCCATCTATCCACCCACACACTCAATCACCCATCCATCCAATCATCCACTTATCCTCTATCCACCCACCCACCCATCCATCCATCCACCCACCCATCCATCCACCCACCCACTCATCCATCCACCCACATACTCAATCACCCATCCAATCATTCACTCATCCATCTATCCACCCACCCATCCATCCACCCACCCACTCATCCATCCATCCATCCACCCACCCACACACTCACCCATCCATCCAATCATACACTCATCCTCTATCCACCCACCCACTCATCCATCCACCCACCCACTCATCCATCTATCTATCCACCCACACACTCATTCACCCATCCATCCACCTACCCACTTATCCATCCATCATCTCACCCCCGCCCCCCAAACAGTCATCATGTGCCAGATTATTTAGGGCCTTGATGCCTGCTGTATAGGGAGGAAAGTCAGGGAGCCATGTGAGAAGGCATGAGGCAAATACATCTGGGTGAAGCTTAGCATAAGATATTTATTCAGTGCTGTCATACTCGACCTCACTGGGTCAGCAAAGGGGTGGAGCATGGTAGGGGCACACAGTGCATCTTTTACCCACTGCATCTTCCAATGGGATCAGGTCTCAAGGTCTGTATTCCTGGTGGATGACTGATCAGCCGAGGCTGCAAGAGACAGACATTTAGCACCAGCACCTTCTCTTGCAGACTGAACACCCACCCTGACCACCCCCTTCCCCTGAGGACCCAGGTGACCCTGCCCCAAGAAGCCTGGCTTCCCTACTACAGTCCTCACCAGGGGGAGAAGTCTTGCGCTCTCCAGGTCTCCATCACCTTCTTCTCCTGGGAGTCATGCCCATCATTGGTCTGGTTCCCATCAAAGTTTCCACAGGCCCCACACAGCATTCCAGTGTGGTCATCGCTGACCATTATAGCCAGCTGCCCATTGGTCCCAAGCCACACCTGGACCCCTGCCTTCTGCTGGACTAGCACAGAGCCATCAGGTTTCTGACTCACAGACACAGATTTTAACACCTCAGCTGGGAGATCCACTCGGAGACCATTCACCTGGTGGTGGTAGGAAGCAAACACAGAGGTGAGGCCAGAGCCACAGAAGATCTGGTATGTTGCCAGGATGGAAACTCCAAGAAAGAGAAGTTCAAGGAGCAAGAGCAGGGAGGCAGGTGCTGAAAGTGATGAAGACCTAGAAGGAAAGACTACACAGAGAGATAGACACATGAGAAAATGGTTGGAGATTTAGATGGATGTACAGTATAGAGGGATAGATGGAGGGAGAGCTGGATGGATGGGTAGAGAGGCATGAGCACATCTCCCAAGGTCAGGGCTCTCCCAAGGAAGAGCACTTTGTACCACAGAGTTAAAAAGACAAACAAAATCCCAGGGCCAGCTTGTCTGCTTCCAGTTCTCAAAATGAAAGAACTCTTGACCCTGTGTTGTAAGTCACTGGTCCTTACACAAGCAACTTTGTGCCTTATTTTTGTAATGCTCATGTCTGAAGATAAGTAACGACCTTAGCAGGTATAATATTCATCTAAGAAAATTGTGATTTTTGCGTCACAGACTGTGGACTTAGAAACCTTAGTAACTTTGTGGATTTTTTTTTTTTTTTTTTTTTAAATAACTGCTGTCTTTAGACAAAGAGAAAATAACTCTTTAAAAGAGAAAATCTCTTTTCTTTTTTCTGAATGTTTTTGTCTCTGAGTGTTCCACTGACAGGTGGTTGGAAAGGTAGGTGGATAGCTAGAAGGACAGCTGAAAAGACAGATGAATGGATTAATGGGTAGAAGAAAAGGAAGGGAGGGAGGAAGGAGAGAATGAACGGAAGATGGAAGAAGAAGAATCGGTGGGTGGATGGATGGATGGTAGAGTTTTAAGCAGCAGAATGATCTGATCTGATTCACATTTCTGGAACATATGTTTGCTGTGGAGACAAGGGCTTCCTGATAGAGTGGCAAGGAGAGTTCAAGAGTAAATGTCTGTTAACATGAATTATGGAGCAAACAGATGGGCAGAGAGGAGTGAATTGCCCTGGGTTACATTAACGAGAAAGCTCACGCCTCCTGGCTCTCGCAGAGCCTGAGTCTTGGACAATGTCCATTCTCTGGTGGAGGGATGGAGAACATCCATTGGGGAGGGAGGTGGACAGCAGCAGCTGTATCTCCTCACTGGGCCCAGAAGGCACCAGTGGATGTCTGTGGTCAATCAACTGGTCACAGAAATAGACACACACGCCTCTGGCAGTTTTACCGCAGCTCTTGGGATCTTCCACGTAGGCCACTATGGGTGCAAGTCAATCCTCAGTAGAGCCAAACAGATTCTCTCTCTCAGAAATTTGGAACTGGGGCGGTGAGAACTTCAGGGTTTGGCAAATGCAAAACAGTTGGAAGTAAAAGGAAGTCAAGGAGGAGAAAGAAGGGGGCATTGGGGCTGGAATGGACTCATGAGCTGGGGCAAAAGGTGATGGCCTAAGGAGGTCCCTAAGAAAAAGCTGGAGGACAGTTGAAGGAAGAGTTAAGTGGCCTGGAATTACCAGAGTCAGAGTCCCACCAAGCAGTGTACTTGGAATCCATCTTGGTCCCTTGTATCCATACAGTTATCACTAACAGCCCCTTCACCTCAAAGTTATTAAGAACAAGAACTCTGGTCTCCCATGTACTCTGCAAGTGACTTGAATAGATGACTTTACTTTCTTTAGCCTCAGTTTCCCCTCTGGGTAAAATGAGGACAGTAATGGTCCCTTTGCATAGACATGCTGTGAGGAGTCACTGACCTCAGGTGTATAAAGGGCCTAGGGTAAGTACCTGGAGAAGGGTGAGTGCTCAGTAGTTGTTGGCTGTGGCAGCCGGCCTCCAAGATGGCCCCAGCGATCCTGCCTCCTGGCATTCATGCCCTGGGTAAGCCCCTCCCATTCCTGTATCAGGTTTGGTCTGCATGTCCAATAGGAAAGGGCAGAAGTGATATGTCACTTCTGAGGTTTCATTATCAAAAGACCGTGGCTTCCATCTTGGAGTTGCTCTCTTGCTTGCTCAGTTTTCTCTTGGGTCGTTTGCTTTGGGGGAAGCCATATGGTGAGTGGCCCACGTGGCGAGGAAATGAGGCCTTCCGCCAACAGGCATGTGAGTGAGCTTCGAAATAGCCTCCCCAGCTCGAGACCAGTCTTCAGAGACTCCAGCCCTAGCCAACAGCTTGACTGCAACCTCAGGAGAGTCCCTGAGCCAGAATCACCCACTTAAGTTGCTCCTGTATACTTAACCCTCAAAAACTGTGTGAGATAATAAATGTTGGTTATTTTAAGCTGCTGTGTTTTGGCGTAATTTGTTATGAATGAATCAACAAATAACTAATACATCTGCTATTATTAATAAATAATGTTGCTGTGATGGTTGCGTTTGTGTTTCAACTTGGCTGGGCCTGGTTGAGTGGCTGGGCAGCTGGTGGTAGTTATTCCCC